TCACTCCCCTCCACCCACTCCACCTCCCCCACTCCTCCCCCTCCAGCCACTGCCTCCCCCTCCACCTACTCACACACACCCCCCACTCACCTCCCCCACTCCCACTCCCCCCACTCACACTCCCCCACTCACTCCCCCTCCAGCCACTCTCCACTCCCCCTCCACCAGCCCTCCTCTCCCTCTCTAGCCACTCACACTCCCCTCCCACCACTCCTGCCTCCCCACTCCCACTCCCTCCCAGCCACTCCCACTCCCCCTCCACCTCCCCACTGCCTCCCCCTCCACCCACTCACTCCACAGCTCACTCCCTCCACCCTGCCTCCCCCCATCCACTCCTCCCCTACTCCTCCACTCTCCCCCACTCACTCTCCCCACTCACTCTCCCCCACACTCACACTCCCCCACTCACACTCCCCACACCCGCTCCACCTCCCCCCACCCTCCTCCCCACCACTCACACTCCCCACCCACTCACACTCCCCACCCGCTCCTCCCCCTCCACTCACCTCCCCACCCACTCCACCTCCCCCACCCCACTCCTGCCTCCCCCCTCCCCCTCCCCCTCCAGCCACTCACACCTCCCCCTCAGCCACTCACACTCCCCCTCACTCCTCAGCCCTCACCTCCCCCACCCGCTCCCCTCCCCCTCCCTCACTCCCCCACCCACTCCCTGCTCCCCACCCACTCCTGCCACTCCCCCTCCCTCCTCCTCTCCCCCACTCTGCCTCTCCCCATCCTCCCCTCCCCTCCTCTGCCTCCCCACCCACTCACATTCCCCCACCAATCACATTTCCCTCCACCCACTCACACTCCCCCTTCACCCACTCATACTACCCCCACTCCACACTCCCACCCTCATACTCCCTCACCCTCACTAGTCCCCTGCCCTCACCTCCCCCTCTGCCCACTCACACTCCCCACCCCTCCCACACACTCCTACTGTGGCGGACCTGCACTCCCCATCCACCACTCCACGCACTGGCATCCAGCTACACTCACACTCCCCACCCACTCACACACTCCCTACTGTGGGACCTGCACTCCCATCCACCCTCCCACGCACTGGCATCCAGCTATGACCACAGCTGTTTCTCCTGGTCCGCCCCTGTCTACCAGGACGCACTGCTTCAGGGGAAGACTCACCCGTCATGCGACCCCATCACTGCGCCCTGGGCAGTCACTTCTAAAATGTAGGCCCTCAACAAGGTATTGATGTGTGAATTAATTACCTTGATTCTTACAGAGACCCTCTGCGGTGGAAGGGCAGGTGCTGTCATTCCTACAAATGCACAGAGCTCAAAGTTCATGGCTCACCCAGGTGGAACCGGGAGGAAAAGATGCGTTCAAGGAAGGAGCCCAGAGTCACCAGCCAAGCAGCTCACTGAAGGCCCAGGTCTCCCTCTCTGTCATTTCCCACTAGATACACATGGATGAAGCCAGATAGATAACAGACAGGTAGAGGATAGATAGGCTGATGATAGGTGATCGATAGATGACAGGCAGATGACAGATAGGCAGATGATATAGATGATCGATAGATGACGGGCAGATGATAGATGATTGACAGATGACAGGCAGATGATAAATGATAGGCAAATGATAGGTGATTGATAGATGACAGCCAGATGATAGATGATAGGCAGATGATAGATGATAGGCAGATGACAGGTGATTGACAGATGACAGGCAGGTAGATCACAGATATGATAGATCACAGATGATGGATAGGCAAATGATAGATGACAGATAATAGATGATAAATTACAGACAGATGATCAATAGGAAGAAGATAGATGATAGATAAGATAATAGATGATAGATTACAGATAGATGATCAATAGGAAGATGATAGATGATAGGTACATGATAGATGGATAGATCATAGATAAATGACAGAAAGGCACATGATAGGTGATAAATAGGTAGATGGTAGGTAATAGATGTTAGATAGATGATAGATCGCAGAGAGACGATAGGTAGATGATAGCTGATTGATACATGACATAGAGATGGTAGGTACATGATAGATGGATAGATCATAAATGACAGCAGATGGTAGATGATAAATAGGTAGATGATAGGTTATAGATAGGTAGATGACAGATAAAAGATGGTACATAATAGATGGATAGAGCATAGATAATTGATAGATGATAGGTGGATGACAGATGATAGGCACATGACGGATAGACGACAGGTACATGACAGACGGAGAGATGATAGATGATAGGTAGGTGATGGATGGGTAGAGGACAGATGATGTGGATGGTAAACATTAGGTGACAGAAAATTCGGTATTTGTGAATGCAGAGGGTGGGGGATCAGAGAGAAGCAAATGATAAGCCCAGTGAGGTAAGTGTTAATGACCGAATCCAGATAAAGGGTAAAAAGGAGTTATTTGTACTATTCTTATTCTTCTTTGTGTAAGTTTGAAATTATTTTCAAATAAAACATTAAAACAACACAAAATTAACTTGTATTTCTCATTCCAGTGCTTTCCACTTGCTGGGGAACGCCCAGCTCTCCGGGGCTGGTCCCGCGGGCGCCTCGGGAGGGGCGTGGAGTCCTGCGTGGGGCGCGGCGGGACGGCCCCAGCTGCACCGCGTGAGCCCCCCCAGCGCTCCCCACCCGCCACTGCGTTTGCGGGGAGAGAATGACTCCCCGTTGTGCAAACGCAGGACACAAAACGAGCCGCCGAGCTGAAGCTAGGACCCGCCTATACCTCCGTCTGCGTTTTTCTCCAGCTTTCTGTCCAACCTGATTTCCTCTTTCGAGGCTGTGGGGGTCCCCACCAAAAGGCACTCTAATTTTCTCCATTTTCAGACGCCCCAACCGAGCCCCACCGGCTACAAAGACGACGCGCCCACCCCGGACGGGTCTCTGGCCGCTTTCTTGGGCTTCTGCAGTTATTTAGAAAGGCGGGTACAGGCGGCGGCAAAGGCATCCGCCCCTTCCGAGCGCACACCTGGTCCGGTCCTCCTCTCCCCGCCCCGCCGGCCGCTCTTCCCCGTTGTCTCCGCTCGGAGCCGGGCGCGCACTGAGCACCCCGTTCCCAGCCCCTCCGCCCACAGAATCAGCGAGGCGCGGCCGGGAGCGGGGCGCGGGGCAGAGAGGAGGGGAGGGGACGGGGGGAGAGGCTGGGGTCGCGGAGACCAGAGGGAGCGCGCGGTGGGGACAGAGAGCCCAGGGGCGAGGAGGGCGCGGGGCGCAGGGGAGGGGAGGTGGGGGGCGGGGAGGAGGGCGCGGAGCGGCGGTTGTCGTGGGAGGAGGGAGACGAGGACTGGGGGAGCGCGGGGCGGGGACAGGGCGGGGGGCGGAGCGGCGGGGCGCGGCGGGGGACGGGCGAGCAGGGAGCGCGCTCCAGCGGCCGGGACGGAGGGGGCGGCCCACGCGCTCGGGCCGCTCGGCTGCAGCTGCGGGGCCCGAGGTCTCCGCGCACTCGCGCCCGGCCCATGCTGGAAGCGGCGGAACCGCGGGGACCCAGGACGGAGGCGGCGGGCGCTGGGCGGCCCCCGGCGCGCTGAGCTCGGGATGCGGACGCTGTGGCCGCCCGCGCTGTTGACCTGCTGGCTGCTCGCCCCGGTGAGTGCGCCCGCGACCCCCGCCCCACGGCGCCCCGGGCCCGGGTCTCCCCTTCCGATGACAGCGCTGCTCCCGCCGGGCTTCGCCTTCCTCCCGGGTGCTGGAGCGCGGGCGGGGTCGGGGAGGGGGAGCGGGGTCGCCCGGGGTCCGGAGCTTCCTCCGGGAGAGCGTGGAGCGCCAAGCTCCGGCCCCGCCGGGTTGCGGGACTCGGGTTGGGAGGCTGCCTGCGCCCTTCCCCGCGCCCCATCGTCCGGGGTTTGCTGGAAACGGGATCGTTTCTCCCTGGACGTGTCAACGATGAGCTGGTTCGGGGCCGTCCCGGGAGCTGGGAGCTGCGGGCACCTGCGCGGGCTGCGCGTTTCACGGGGAGATCGGGGTTGGCGTTGGCCGCAGATGCCTCTCGGCCCCTCCCTATACTTGCCGTTTGTTTGTTTTAGTGTCGGGGGACGTGGCGTCGGTTAAGTAAAGTTTCCTTTTGAAAATAGTTGCTTTTTTCCCCAAGAGCACTGGAGGAAAAGAACCGCGCATAAGTTTGTTGAATAAGTGCCTTCGCGTATGGAGTTCTGAATTATTCCCTTTGTGAACCTTTAAAAAAAAGGAAAGAAAGAAAAAAATCCGAGCCTTGTTTCTTGCTTTCCTCTCGGAGACTGAAGCGGGTTTGCGGTGCGCGCGGTTTTCGTGCGCGTGGCAGCCGAGGTGGGTCTGGATCGATCCGCGGCGGCTCCGCCGCTGGGAGGCTGCGCTGCCGACGGGACGGGGTCATTGATTAACCGGCGACGCCCGGTGTGCAGCGGGGCTCCAGCCACACTCCCTGGCCTTGCGCGGGGGCGCAGCCGGGCTTTCCTCCCTCGAGAGTGGGCGCTTTGCGGAGCGGGTCCTTGCAAAGTACCGGGCTTTATCATGGGTAATGCCGCTTTCATTGCTAAAAAACGTCCTCAGTCATTGCTCTGCGTATTCCAGGAATGTCAGGTATTATAATGTCTTTTCTACTTTAACAAAGTTTTTTCTTTTTACATCAATATAATTTCCTTAATTCTGAAATTTAAACCACTCACTTGTCCTGCATGAAAACAGAGGACTTGGAGCCGGGAGTCAGTGCCTGGTGCTGGTTCAGTCACCAGCTCTTAGAAGCAAGCTCCGGGCTCTTTTAAATGGAGCTAAAGGTGGCAGCAGTTCCAGCATTGTTTTCCCCTTACTTGTGTTAGGAAATTGTGTTCCTGGTTGGAACTCTTACTGACCATTTCAATAGTAAGATAACTAAACATAGATGGCCATAATGCACCCCACAGTATGATTCTCTGTGGTTATTACTTTAGTGCAAGTAGAATTTTGGGTAGTGGCGGGGAGGGAGAAGATCAAGACCAAAAGGATGGGTGGGGGGAGCCCTCCTTAAGCCCCTAAGGGCCGCTAGGCAGGCCCTGGGCTGACTTGGGGGTGGGCGTGAAGAACAAGAATGTTGATCTAGGTAGAAACGGTGCCTTCTGAGAGGAAGCGTTGTGTAGTTCTGTCTTCTCACATTAATAGACTGCTAATTACTATCTTTGTAGCATCTTTCACTCCCTTGATGGAGCCTGACTGGAAATCGCCCCCTCTTCTCTGTGGGGCCACAATGGTGATTCCCCCACCTCTGCCTCCCTCCTCATCTTGCTCATCTTTTTGAATATCTCTTCCACCCCAAATTCTAGTCAAAATGATTGCAGTTTTATCTGTAGTTAGAGGGTTAAGCTTTGAACGTGTACCAACACCTTTAAAAATAAAGCCCTTCTTTCACGTCTCTTTCCCCGGGTGGAGGCCGTCCCCAGAGGAAGGTGCACAGTCCACAGGCACCCACTTAAACCAAACCAAAGGCTGCGAAATGGAGGAGCGGCTATGGAGAGATTAATGGAGTGAAGAGCTCTGTTGCCTCCAAATTAGTACCGATGTGTTATGTTAGTAAGTTCATTTTCCTGCTCAGAAAAAAATATTCCATTAGATTTTGTATTTGTTTTATATTACTTTTACAAAGTAAATCATGAAGTTTTTTTAAAATGCCAGAAAAATTAAGGTGATTGGTTTTAAATGCATTTACGTTTGGAAGCAGTTTAAAACTGTGAGGTTTTGGGTTGTTTTTGTAGAACTTTTGCTTGCTTTTCCTCTTATTATGGAATTTTTAGTTATTAATATTTCTTTTAACCTTGAACAGGTGAACAGCATTCACCCAGAATGCCAATTTCATCTGGAAATACAGGAGGAAGAAACAAAATGTGCAGAGCTTCTGAGGTCTCCAACAGAACAATACAAAGGTAAGGCAGAGAGCTTGGTGAGTAAGAACTCCAGTGACATTCTAACCCGGGAATATGCCTCACTCAGCTGTGGTTCAGGGCCACCACCTGCATCTTTAAAAAAAAAAGAAAAAAGAAAAAGAAAGGCCACTTCCCACTGTTTGTTAATGAACTATAGAGTGTTGGATAGGTAGGGTCTTCACACACACCTTTAAAAAGAAAACCTTAATTCTTAACAATAATAGTTTCCATGGTTTGAGATGATAGCAACAGTTACTAAAACAATTTCACGGGCTTTGTTATGCTTTGCAAAAGCAGCTTCAGTTTTCCAGGGGATAAAAGCATTTATCTGAATTCTTGTATTTTAAATTCTTAGCTATAGGACAGATGAGTTTGATCTGGTTAAGGATGATGGATCTTTGGCAGAAAGTAAACAGGAAAATGGACTTTGGTTGTGCTGAAGACGGGCCTGCGGTGCACACTGTGAACGCGCAGATTGCCTTCTCCAGTTTGACAGAGGCGTGCTGGGCCATCATGCCCCAACCAACTGGGCCTGCTAACAACCTGTTTATAGACTCTGCCCTGGGATAGCACCCGGCCTATAAATAGTAGCAAGGCCTTTGTCCGTCAGCTTTCTCTGCTCTTTGTTATGATTTTCTCCTCTTCAAGAAAGAAATGAAATCTGTGTTAAAACAGTCTGGTGTCCTGTAGAGGGCCTCACATGGTGGGCTTTATTCAAGAATAGCCTTGCCCAGTAGAAACAGAATGCAAGCCACATTACAATGAGTAAAAGAAGCATGACAGATTAATTTTAATAGTATCATTCATTTACCTGAATAAATCTGAATCTTTAACATTTTGACATATAATCAACCTAAAATTATTAATTTTATATTCTTATTTTATGCTAAGTTGTAGAAGTCCAGTGTGTTTTTTGTGCTTACAGCACAACACAATTTGGACCCCATTTCAAGGTCCAGTAGCCACAGGCGGCCAGCGGTCTCCATGCTGGACAATGGGGCTGTAGCTTGCCACTAAAACCGGTGTCCCTCCCCATTCTCATCCTGCTCTGAGCCACCATTGCCCAGTCTGAAACATGCAGGCTCTGCCTCCAAGACTTCTTCCGGCTTTAAAGATCTGTGATTCCGTGGTACACGCATGGTTCTGGCCCATCTTCCAGATTGTCTGTTTGAACTCTGTCCAGAGAAAGGCAAATAAAGCTGAAGCCATGCTGAGAGTCTGTCCTGGGAAATGCTGACGCAGCCAAGGAGATGTGGATGGAGGAGGCAGCCAGGCCGCCACGGCAGAAGCAGCAGCATGGCCATGGAGGGTCCTTCTTCCCAGTGAAAATTCTGAGTTAGGAAAGGTAGTCCTGAGGAGAGACAGGCGTTTAGGATTACCTGGTTACCTGGGGGCCTGGGGACCCGGGCAGCCCTCCTCACCTCCAAGTTCCAAATTGTCCAGTTTCTTGTTTTCATGGGATATTAGAAATGCAGATTTATATAAAATATTCCACTTTCTTAAAAGCTTGCAAGCAATACATTAAGAAAACAAGATTTTGAGGGAGCCTGTAGCTATCTGATGGCTCACTGCACAGTAGCTGGACTCTAGCTTAACCCAAGAGCGGAGACGCTTCCTGGGGTACCTTCACCCAAAGATAGGTCAGCACATTTAAACTATTCACAGGGGCTCCTCCTCAGTGGGCAGTCTGTGTGTGAGTCACATCGGACGCTAGGGGCCACAGGTCCCAGGCAGTCACTCAGCCCCACACCAGCTTGAGCGGGTTCAGATGCAGGCCTGAGGGTCCCTTGTAGGCTGTGTTGGTCGGGAAACTTGTCACTGGGCTTTCTTGTAGCAACAGGTGTCTACCTGGACATCTTGTATTGAAGGCTCTTATTTCCAGTATCAGCTCTGTAGGAAAAATATCTGTATCTCATCCGTTTTACCTTTTTGACTTGCATGAAGTACTTGGTAACAAGACGCTGCCCTTCAGGAGAGAAGCAGCAGCGTGCCGGGGCCTCAGCCTGGCCACTTTTTTTTTTTTTTTTTTTTTTTTGTACTCTTTGAAATATGCATGGCTCAAATGCCAGAGATGTAAATAGAAGTAAGTTACCAGAATAAAGATGCTATCAGCGATGTGAACCCGAATCCACAGGCTGAGGCTGAGGAAGGCGTGTCATTAGATGGGCTGAGTGACTCCACAGGACCCACAGGCTGAGGCTGAGGAAGGCGTCTGATTAGACGGGCTGAGTGACTCCACGGGACCCACAGGCTGAGGCTGAGGCTGAGGAAGGCGTCTGATTAGATGGGCTGAGTGACTCCACGGGACGACAGTGTGCATCTGCACCTGATGCCAGGTGAGGCGAGACACTGAGGGTCTGTAACAGCCACTTTTAAATCTGTACGATTAAGAAATTTGTGTGAAAGAGTGCCAGAAATGAGGTGAAAAAAACCTAGCTTCCAATTCTAGTGAGATAATTTGTGTAAGTCTGATTTGGAAATTTTTCTCTTTATTACATGTTGAATCTAAAAAAAAACACATAAATCCAGACAGAAACCAATTTCAATTCTAAACTCTCTAACAGGATTCGCTTTGTAAGCTTAGGAGTTATTTGGAGCTGTGTGACTTAACATTGATGCATCACTAAGACAAGCTTTCTCTTGCTGATATGCATGTGAGGCACTCCAGGCGTCAGAGCCGAGATCCAGCCCTCTTCCCGTGGCCATGCCAACCTGCAGGTGGAAAGGACAGGTCCCTCAGGGGGCTTTGTCCAGGCTTCCTGCCTAGGCACAGGCTGGATAGGAACTTTCATGTGACTTCATATCATTCTTAATTCCCGTGTCTGGAGGGGTGTGACCTGCGCTGGGGAGAAGCAGAGGTGGTTTCTGTGTGTCTGGGAGCTCCCTGTTCTGAGCCATCCTTCAGAGGCACATGGCTGAAATGGATCTGATGGTGAATGTCAGCTTAGACCAGGCCACGGAAGGTGCTAGGCTTAAAAACTAACTTTTCTTTGGTTTTTCTTTTAAACAATGGATGCTGAACTTATTTTGATCTACATGTCAGGAACTGTGAAGGGTTTGAGGTCATTCCCCACTTGCAGGCTAACAAGGTAGCCTGCCACAGTTTTGCAGGTGCTGCAGAAGACATGAGATGCTGGGCCAGAGACAAGAGACTTGCTGTTCACGCACAGCAGGCGTCATGAGCTGCATGTACCCATGGGTTCCCTCTGCTTCCCAAGTCCCCCAGGAGCAGTGGGAGCGGCCCACACGGATGCAGTGCATTTGTGTCATAGCTGAGGAGAACTGGCTTAGGAAACCCGCAATGTCAAAAGGAGGCTGCTGGCAAACCCCCAGCCATTGTTACAGAGAGAGACGATATCTTAATTATCTTAATTATTGAACTCTCCTAGGTTGTTTGCTATACAAACATCCCCAGAAAGAAGGATGACTTATGTCAGAGAAACACATTTTCTATCATACTTGGGAGAATGATCTCAAGTAAGGATTGGTGGCTGCTGAGTAGGATATAAATGTGTTTCCTTTACGTCCCATAGCATCCTGAGACTCTTGTGATTGTAACTCAGTGTGTGATTTCTTGGTCCTTCTCCTACAGTGCCCAGAGGAGATGGCATCTTGTTTCTGTTGCTTCTCCCAAGTCTCACACGGTACTTAGCATCTAAAAAGATATTTTAAAAGCTTTTGCTGAACAAATTAATGAAACTTCTCACAGTAGAAATTAAGTGATTATCTATCTATCTATCTATCTATCTATCTATATATATATATATACACACACACACAGAAAAATTCTGTTCAGAATGTATGTAATGGGAAATGTCTCTATAGACTCCACTGCTGCTAGCCCCAAGCTGCCCCTGGAGAGTCGGGGTATGCACAAGTCCACACATGGGTAGACCCCACTTTTCCTTCCAGACACGTGGAAGCTGACACTCTTCACACATGCACTCGGCATCTTGCTTTTCTTTTCTGTTTTGTATTTTAACTTAACAACTTATTTGGTGACTGTTCTGTATTTGTTCTTATATTCTATTTAAGAGCTGCTAATGTGTTTCTTTAGTCTCTCCCAGGTCCATGGACTTTTAGGTAGTTGACAGTGCTTTGCTACTACAAACAATGTTCTAGTGACTGTTTTGTTGGTGGGAATAAAATATTTCACCAGCATTTGAGGGTTAACTTCAAGCCACTAATATAAAATTGGAATCACCATCTCCTATGACCAAATGACATGATTTTCGCCTACTTTCTCATTCCTGTGACGGTTGTGTCACGTGGAATATACTTAATTACATCCCATTTTACACCTAGTCTTTTCTTTCTTGTTCCTCTTTGTCAGAGGAAACCAGACAGTGTCCACGAATGGGTTCCACAACATCATGTGGGGCCTGGCCCTCCTTGGGGGGTCCAAGGCCTGTGCTGACGGCAGCATTCCACCTCGCACTGTGGTCTTGGCTCAGCTGTCCTGTGATGCTGGTCTCTGCTGTGAGAGCTGAAGCTCTGGTGGGAGCTCGCTGTTCCTGGTCCTTAGCAGACGTTCCAGTCAGACCTGTGCTAAGAAACTAAATGAATAATCACTGTCTTATGCTCCGGGAGGTCTGAACCAAGCAGTTTTGGAATCCACAGCAGAGAGCAGGGAAGTAGGTTCCTCTGATGTCAGTATTGATGGTGTAGACATCAGCTGCATCTTAATTGGTGCCTATCTCTTTCCTTTCCATTTTCTCTCTGATATAAGTAGGTCCTTGTCCTAGTGCAAATAACTCTTTGGACTGGTGAGATAAACAGCCTGGTCACTTTTTTCTTTTGGATCTTTTTGACTAGATTGTTTCTATTTTCTAAACTCCTTAAGGTCATTTCCTCGTCTTGGATATTTAAATAATTAATAACTGTTTATTGGTTGAGATAGTCTTAAAGTAATGTCTTTATGGCCTGGTGCAGTGGGCTCACACCTGTTATCCCAGCACTTTGGGAGATCGAGGCAGGAGGATAACTTGAAGGCAGGAGTT